AATAAGCACAACATGTACGCACAGAGTTAAGTGCCTGTCCAAATGTGTGTGTAGGACAGCTGGGTGACGGGGGTCAGGTGAGACAGCGTAATCTCCCAAGGATTAAGAGTGCTGCTCCTGTGTTAATGTGACTGTCAATGAGAATTAAGTCCCTGGACCAGTGCGCTGCCTCCTCTGGCCTCGTGCGCGCTTTGTCACACGCTAATGGCACTTCTTTCTGTGGAGTGCGTTTAGGGGGAAAAAATAATGTGGGAATAATCAGGCTCTCACCGTACTGTACAAATTGCAGAGGCGAGCAGCGGGACATCGACCGATAGAAGAGAGAGAGGGGGGGAGGTAGGGGTAGGGCACGCGTTGGGAAAAGGGGAGGGCTATAGGCACAAAGACGACTTAACAATTACAACACGATAGGGGCTGGCTCTCATTACTGTGCCTATTAACATGCAGCAAGTAATTACGCACCCACCCACCGCTCCTCCTGTGCGCCCGCTCTACACCCTCCCTCTTTTGGACGAGCGCAGTCTGCCCAGAGAAGCCGGCGGCAGCTCATTCCTCTCCCATATGTCAGTGCGTTCCCGCGCTCTCTGCACTCTGCCCGTCTCCACCGTATCCCCAGTCGATCCATTCAAAGCGATTTCCAAAAGGCGCCCGGTCAGCGGATAAGCCTCATGGATCATTCGATAAATGTTAAGCGGAGAGGGATCGCTTATTTAACCTCTTAGTGAAGACTCTGCTAGTCTCGCGTCAATCTTTCAGACAGGAAAGAACTGCGCTCAGGGGTGCGTTTTGGCCAGCAGTTTTGGCTCAGGGAATCATGAAAGAGTCATGCAGTTTAACTGAAACATTTGAGAAGTTGCTTTAGGTTTCTCATTTCTCAAAGAAAGCCACATCATGTCTTCAGTGTTGTCTACTCTGTTTAATTGGAGTCCCCACTGACCCTTTCCCCGTTTCCCTACAATACTGACAGTCATGGGATAGACAGAAAACCATTAAGAGTGAAAACGTGACCTTACCGAAATCTCTCCGCGTGACCACATGGATTCTTAAAGAGCAGTAGTCCAGCTTTAGCTCTTATATGTTGGTGCTGCTTCAATTCCACTATTTCGGGGGAAGTCTCCAGTTTTCCAAGCCACTTAATAATGAGAATTTAAAAGAACGCATTAAAAAGCAATGTGAGTCTATTCACAGCAGTGTGGTCCAGCATGCCGTCATATCTCCCCGTCCCATCTCCATAATCACTGAGGGGAGGAAAAGTCGTCAAAAGTGCGTAAGTCCCTCTGGAGAGTCGCTTCACACAGCCCACTTTCCGCGGTCACACAGACAGGCGTCTCCAGCCACCTCTTGTGGCGGGGCTGATGAGAGTGATAGTACGGTGATGCACAAGCGATAGTTGCGCTCCATTCGCTCCTCCCGAAGCACGGATCGATTGGACATGAGGAATGCGATGCGACCCTGTCTTCCCCATTCAGAACACGCTACACCAGCGCCCGCCCAGCTCACTGTCTCCCACCTACATCCCTTTTCTCCCCTGGTGTCATGATGTCATATGCACTTTACTAGAAGACTGTTGGTGAGGAAGGGGCGAGTAAATGCCGATAAAACCCAGCAGGGCTGTGTGACTTGACAGTTATTCTTGGAGTACAAAGAGGCGTGAGAGCAGTGCGCGCTCCGTCCCCTCCACTGACTCTACACGTGTCCTACTTCATGGCAGCTGCAAACGATCTTGTACAGGAAAGGACAGTATTGGAGGCTGTAGAACGCTATAGGACAATTTACTGAGTCAACAATGTTACAAGAAAACGAACCTCTAAGCTCAAAGCCCAACCCGTTACGCACAGAAAACGCAGAAAGTTTAAACTGTACTATAACCTTGTCATTCGAATTACAGTTCTACTCTCAAGGTTAAAAGGAGTAGTATGGATCACATATTCCTAGATACATGACTTTTGCTCATTGATCCGGAGCTAAGCCACTTACTTCTCACCATTTCATTAAACGTCTTTAAGTGAGGAAGTGTGATACTTGCTGATTGACAGGTGGTGGTGTGTAAGACTGGATGACCCTCCTCATCAGCCGTGCCCCTCGCCGCGGTCTTCGATCATATTACAGATGCAGTGCTTGCATATCAATAGTTGATTGCGCGCTTCTCTCGGGCTATGAGCGCTGCGCGTGCTGTAAACCTGACCCTCCCACCGTGATGTTAAACAGAATCACCACCGCTTCTATGTTGCGCACCAGGAGACAGCCTATCAATTATCACATCCCCAGAATATTCCAGTGTGTTGATGGCCATTGATTGCTTCGCGCTTTATTCACCGTCGTTAAGACTAACAGGAGGTCGATGTCTGCTAACGACTCAAGGTGAAGAGTATCCGATAAGACTCAGCGCTTGACTGTTTCCCTGGATTGAGGGAAGCACACATCTTCTGGCGGTATATTGTATTCCTATAGTAAGACAACTGGTTCAAAATTTTTAGATTCATAATCTTCCAAAGAAGCATTTTTGGAGTACACTTAGCCTTGGATCACCACTGTGTAAAAACGTGACTTATGTAATGAAAACAGCCAAAAAGAACTTGTCACCAACCCCTCAAACTCTAAAGATCCCAAATCCCCTCAAATCTTGAAATTCTAAAAACAATGTTGTTAACATTGCGTGTGTAAATAGTAATTAAAAGATATAAAACTCCCTCTATTTAGCGAAGTTTTGACATTCAGCACCATGGACAGTTCCATTTGTAGATTATCTCTCCAGATATTGCGGGTATCTTTTAAGGCACTCCAAATGGCTGTTCCAAAACTTACACCAGTTTTGGGGAAAAGTAAATTTTATTAGAGAAACAATTTTATTAGAGAAACAAAACAAAACAAAACAAACAAAAATCATCTTTGCAAGGGTTTAGTGCCGAGACGTTTCAGCGTTTCAGTTGACCACCCACACTGCAAAAGAAGCAGCAGTAGTCTATGGAGCTTGTGACCTTAGCCTAACATAATGTATGTGCACGAGACTAGGGCACGTAGAGAGAGAAGACAAGTGAGCTCAGGTCCAAAGTCCGCGTCAGATCTGGGTTTTTCTGCCCTCCACCCACGTGGTGATCAGAGGCCTTTGTCTTTAAGTTAATGAGCTAATTGATGCCGCACTTATTTCATTTGTCCAGGCTCCTCACATGGGGCCCTTGACTCATTCAGATTTGGATTTTGAAAAAGAATACTATTTACCTGTCTCTCATAAAATACACCCAAGTGAAACTATAGCCTGCTACTCAGTTTGGGTTTAAGGGCCCTTGACTGTAATGACAGTGTACAGCTTGGTATTGCTCTTGCATTTTGTGGTTTTGTGGCGCAGGTAAGATGGGAATGGATGTTACAGTGTCATATATCAGCAGACATAAGTTATTGGATCTCCCTTATGGGCAAAAACAACATTAGGGGCATATCTTGAGCTTAACCAAATGGATACGTCCTTTTCCTCAATCAATACTTCCACAATGAAACCACTGAATCATGTGATCCGAGAGGGCGTACCACCTTTATGCGAAGAAATAATGAAAACACCAAGAGTGATTTGTCTGAATTCAGTCTATGAAAGTATTTATGGATTAGTACTAATGATCATGGGGCGGGAGTTTAAATGAGTTTGAGACATGTGAAGCTAATGAACAGGTACTTAATAGGTGTGTAAATCATGGCGTGCGGGTTTAGCTGCCAATACTTGGTTTTCAAGGGAACGCCACAAGGAAACAAATTTGCGCTTTTGCAATCCAAACTCGTAAAACAACAACCGCCACCTCATTTTAAAGTGTGACTCACAGTTCAGAGTGGTCTAATGACTCTACTCAGAGCTCCTGGCGCAGTGGATAAAAGCAGGTAGCAATAACTTTCCGTCCTAATGCGTCTAGAGGCGTTTCTTCATTCCACAGGGCCCGTATTAAGGGCGACAGAGATAAGTAATTTCGCATTTTCAGGGGAAAGCACACAATTACTTACGGCCTGACAAAACAAGGCCACCCAGGCATAGTCTACTACTGTAACTGGTGAAGGACTTCCAGATCATCCGAGTCGGAGTAGATTTAGAACTGAGCATAAAAATGTGAGTATGGTGTGCGCCCTCATTAACCAGATTACGTAGTCCCTGGTGGCCATCGGAACAAGCGAGGAGCGCCTTCATTACACTGACCACACGCACAGGAGTCGAAAGAAAATACTTAATCTGTTGACTTCTGTGGTTCAGCTACACCCTTATACAGTATGTGTTACCCAGCTGTCCATTCTGGCAGAACAAGCACCCAAAAAACATGACTCGTCTGCACATTGATCTGCAAGCGCCACGAAGGTTAATGAGAACAGACATCTCGGTTCCTCTGCTTTTGATCCTACCCCACGCATAGAGATTCTTCATTTCTTTAGGAGGTCAGTGGCAGTAACCCGAGCAGGGCCATAAATAGTGTCCATGCCAGACATGGCGGGTGCCTGTCAATAACCAGAAAGTTCAGACACAACATCTGCAATGAATGAGAAAAACCGCCACTGCGTTTTTTCTCGTGTGAGTTAATAGTTTGGGACCAATAAGACTTTGTTCAACATTATGCTTTGAAAATATTCCTGAATGCATTAAGCAGCAGTGTGCCCGCTTTTTGGAATGGGTCTGTCAGGGGTGATCACGCAGCTCTTGGTTGAAATCCAGCCTCATGCGCGGTGTTGTACTGCCCCCACGTGGCCACAATCAAACACTGTGAATAAAACTAGTTGAGGTCATCCAGATTTATTACAGCGACAGTAAAAGCTGAAAGAGTGCCCTTTTGAGGAGAGGCCGTTCCCCTTCTACACCCGAACGCAGTGAAATAATGAAAGCTACAGCAAGGAGCAGTCTGACATCAGCAAGAAGTAGGAGACAGCAGGATCAAGACCACACCGCAAAGCCATAATTCATCCTGTGAGTCGTAAAATTGAAGTTGGGAGAATTAAATCTTTGATGTGGGTGACATAAACAACAAGGTTCGTTTCAGCAATTTCAGAATTATTTATTTGAAAATTCCACACTGTTATAAATTGGCCAGAGCTAACCAAAAAACTCTGAGTCAGTTCAACGTGATTTTATCCATAAATAAAACATGGTACAAAATGCCACAAAAGCAGTATTCTGAGCAGAAACAAATACTCCTGACCATTGCATCAGGCAGCAAAATTGTGCTTACATTTTTGGGCAACTTAAGTAATACTTTCTGGACGCAAAAAAGCAGCGTATAGAACTGACCATAATTACTGTACACTCCCTTAGATTAAAAAAAATAATAATAATACATTAAAAGTTTCAGTAGCAAACAGCAAAGCAATGAATAAAGCATTTTATAAGAGAGACAAGTAAAAATAGTGCGAGAATCAGAAAACATCAAGACTGGGTCGACAAATAAATAGTTAGTCAGTATTTCTTTGCTTTACAAAGTAGTTTGAAATGTTCAAGACACTAGCTTTACAAAAAACACTGGTTTGGTGTAGTGTAGCAGCGCTGGTTTAGCTTGTTATTAGTGCTTTATCTTGATAGCCAAAATAGATCTTTTTGAGTAAACATTCAGACATATTTGACAAATCATTATATTCTTACCTGTGTTCCAGTTTAAAAATATTTGTATAAAAAAATCTGGACAAATGATCCAGTCAGTGGCAAATGTGCAGGTGATGGACAGTATGAATATGTATAACTCAATTGCTTATGTCATACTGAAGTAATTGGGAACGTAGGCTGCTTCATTTCTATTAGCTGTGTAACTGGTATGTCAATGTTTAGATAAGTCTGTTCCTCTACATGGGCTTAAAGAGGCACTAACACTGATAAAATACGACAAGGTGTCAAATATGCAGCAATCTTGTGGCTACTGCATTTTGGCTAATACTGTCCTCATGGGAAGAAGTACAGTGTGAAGTATGCGTGGCTTGTGGACATAAATTGGAGTAGTCCCTTAATTTCCTTCACTCCTTTGGGATAAAACAAAATACATAAATTGTAATCTAGTGTCAAGTTGCTGGTAAGAGCTGAGGTATCCATTTCATTCAAACTCCTATGAGCCTCCAGAGCAGAACAGTAGACTCTCCCTCATAGTTCATCGTGTAGTGTGGGATGTTTCCATTTGGGGTGTTCAGTGACATAATCCACTGCCTCCAACACGATGCGCATAAACTCCTCCACATCAAAAGTGTAGTTTGTAAACTTTGGATGGTCTCCCAGAGTCGGGTGGTGCCCCTAAAGTGTTACACAAGAAATGAAGAGATAAGATGTTGAAGAACAGACTGCTGAAGATTGGTAGTAGTTACTCTCAGAATTAAATATATGAAAATCTCAGATAAATCAAAAATCAGTTTTTAGGATGGAAATCAATTTAAAAGGAGAGTCTGCGAAAGGATTTGACATTGGTTCTGAAAATTGTGTTTGGTTCCAACCTGTGTGAAACTAAATGTATCAAAAACACAAAAAAGAGGAAAAAATCTATTACACGAAACAAATTTTATTTATATCTTCATTTAAATTCATTAATTTTATTTAAATCTGAAGATAGGCCTGTGACAATAATTACTGTACTAACTTATCGTTCAATATATGAACGCTGGGACAATATCTTTTTGGGCTCAATATTTATCGTGTGTACATTTCCTTTGCAATATCAGGGAGATTTTGTAACATTTTCTGTAATACGAAAAGATTCGAGCAGTAGAGAGTTGAATAAGTCACCTCTATGGCTAATTATCGGTTCATTCTACTATTTATCTTTTGCAATTCAGACCTTTTAATTATATTGTCTATTTAAAAATGGTTTATTGGGACTGTCCTGCTTTATTTTAATCATGTCAGTGGCAAAAGTTCAAATCTTATGCTTTATTGCAATATTGTATATCGTGCTTCAAAATAAAAAAAACAGACCTATGTGCATTATATATCTTTTCCGGCATGCTGTTCCACTAACTTGTTTCCATGTTTCCTTTGCCTGGAATCCACCATTTGGCAATAAACATATGTCACATTTACAGATGTTATATGTTACATAGAGCTCCTAAACTAAAAGCTAAAAGCTTAAGTATGTGTTGTGTGTGGAGCAAGGATTACAGTTATAAAAAACTATGAACATATGATTAAAAAAAAATGCAGTTATAGTAGTTTATAGCTACCTCTCAGGTGTACTCCTTATGCTCTGATACAGACACATAATAAAACATAAACAGAGAAAAATGAGCCCAAAACCACTGTTCATTAATTGGATGTGGACGTGCAGCAGGTGGGCAAGCCAGGTGGTGTAAACCAAAAGCGTGCAGGTGCCAGAACGCTAATAGTTGGTACGGGACTCCCCCCCTACCCCCCTCGCCTGCCTGCCCCCCACCTACCTTGTCCTGGGGGAACACTTTGCCCATTTTCTGCCAAGTCACGTATCGGATGCCCCGCAGACGCGCCAAATCCCGATAGCAGCTCTCATCCTCACAATTATATCTGAGAGGGACAGATGTACACACTTTAACTTCTGTGAACTCTTTGCTCTATACCTCATGTGGCATTTTATTCAGCAAAACACACAAGCACATTCATATTTTCCAATGAGTTTCTTACACAGCAGCAGTAATGGAAGAACTATGGAGCAAAAAAATACTCAAGTAAAAGTAAAGTATCATATGAAAAAATCTGTTTAAGTAAAAAAATTTAAGTACCAGTTGAAAAATTTACTTAAAGAGTAAAAAGTATTGCGTGCAGATTATGAAATCTAATAAAGTTTCAAATGTATTAATTTTGTTTTGTACATTTTGTTCAATAGAAACAATTGAATCAGTAGTTTTTTTGTTGTTGTTTTTATTTGTATATTTTAAATTTCCTTAAGTTGTGAACTTATCTATGAAAGAGCCACCCCTCAGGCTTTTCAGCAGGTTTCAGGCAATAATAAAAATTTGTTTACTTTTCAGTCCAGATCAAAAATGTAGTGGAGTAGAAAGTATAGGTATGTGCTCGCAAGTAGTGACAGTACATATCTCTGAAGTAGTGAAATAGGAGTAAAAGTATCCAGTCTGAAATGTTCTTAAGTAAAAAACTGAGGTATCTGTAATTTACTACTTTTACTTCATTACAATACACCACTGCAAATGAGCCAAGTGTAAAAACTGCCAGTTTAAAAAGGTCATATTTCACAGCAGCATGGTTAAAGGGAGCACTGGTAGCGTTATGCTTTAATATATTTCTCTCAGTCTTGGTCACACATTGCCTATGTTTACACTTGATCAGGTCCACAGGTGAAGAGTCACTTACAGCTCAAATATGACCGCCCAGTCTGGGAGGAAGAGCAGGTGTGTGAGACCTGCCCCATGCATCCCGATGAACACGTCAGAGTTGTGGGTGATCCTCAGTTGCTCCAGGAAAGGAACATCCCTACAAGGCAGAAATATGTATCAGTCATTCATTGATCATAAAAATAATATTAATTTTTCTAAATGATCAAAATTAGTGCCAGACCTGCAAAGATGTTGCAGCTATTCTGTAATGGGGTCTAGTATTGTCAAAAGTATTGAAAATCAGATACTAATCAATACTAAAACCAGTATCGAAACTAGATACTCATTTGGGAAGGTATTGATACTAAAAAAACAAAACAAAACAATATTCACAGGACAGAAATTAACCTATCCTGAATAGCTATAGAATGATCTTGAGCTACATCAGAACAGAAGTAAAAGATCACGTAGATGAGTAATGACCACTATGAAACATACTGGGACGAGGGATCATACAGATAAGGCTGCATGGTTATATAGAATATAGTACTACAGTTTAATCTTGAAAATCAAATTCTATTGTCTAAATAAAGAATGTTTTTTTTTTTATTATCATCATGGTATTGGAATTAGAATCGATATCTAGTCTATTCCTTAGTATAGAAATTGAGTCTGAAACAACACTAGGAGGGTCACATTGAAAGTTTGGGACTCCAGAAAGCTTAAAGGTGCCCTGTGAAAGTTGTTTTGTTTTTAGTATGGCATTTAACTTATCTATCATGCATTTGATCAATTATAGTTAGGTGTTGGATTGTATAGTGCCACTTGCTTGTCTCCTTGAAGATTAATGAGTTAATTGAGTTAAGTCATCATTTAGAATATTCATAGGAAAGCAATAACAACTCCATGAAGACAAAGTGGTGGCGAATACTCCACCAGAAATTTTACAAAGCACATCACTGAAAAAAAGGAAGGCTTACTAAGGAATTATCTAATCTATTTTTAACATAATGTTAAAAAGTCACTTTAAAATGTACCCAAGAACAAAGTGCAGTAATTGTTTGACTCTCCCTCCTCATGCTAACTCAACTGCTCTTGATAGATCTGTGTAATAAAAACGATGTGTGCAATACAAAAGAAATGAAGTGGCCCATGAGTTTTTATGATGGCCTATTTGTTGTGTGGAAGTGCTGTGTGGTAATATAGTAGCTAAGCTATAACTCACTTGTATTTGTAGTCAACCACATTGACCTCCAGTAATGGCACCGTCTTCAGGGCATTTACCAGCTGTAAAACAAAGGCCCAACACATTCCCTGATCAATGAGAGAGCAAACAAATATAGCTGTCGGCAGTATAAATCACGGACCTCCTTTACTTGTATTGTTTATAGCGAATAAGATTTTAAATAGGCATTTAACACAGGCTGGCAGTAAATCAATGTCTGTCTGAGAGGCTGAGACGAAGGATGGGAAAGAGAGAAGAGAGAGCGACAGGGAGAAGGAAGACAGCAGCTGAGCTTCAGTGCTGGGGGAGACAGCTGCGGGTAAGCTGGATGGCTCACCTCAACTTGGTTTAAAATCCTTCTGTGCTCCGTGCTACGTGCCAGCAGGGTGACCCGAACTGTCCCCTTCTGAAAAAAGCAGAGCAGCCAATGATCAGTCATCACACACTAAGGCAAATGTATGATCTCATATGATGATCCTGTATCACACAAAATTATGAATGCATCTAAATATATTAAAGCCACAGTATTTAACTTTTGAATAAAATAAAATCATGTTGTTGTTTTTTCACCACAAACCTGACTATTACTTGGCCTGGAGGATGGTCTTCTCCTGCTTGTTTTCATGTACCTGTTATTTCTTTAGCTATAATATTTCAGAGTGTGGCAAGATTGTTCTATCTCCATGGAGAATGTTCTGAAGCATGGTTTTAATTCTCTATTTCCATGGAATCATAAGTGATGTGCCTCCCCCAGAAAGTTACACACTGGATGCTTTTTGTGGGTATTAGTTATAATACAGTATATAATACAAACATATGTAGTTTATTATTTTATATTTTGTTCATTGTAAACTTCAATATTGATCTAAAATGGATTGATAATAGAAGGACCCATAGTCTGACTATTTAAAAATAATTGTAAAGTAAGTAAATTTTTGGTGGAGACAGGGTTTGAGGAGAAACTGGTATTTTCTAAGCAATCAAGTCTCAGATGCAGGACAATGTTAGATTACACAAAGATGCATGAAGTACTTAACTCAACGGTTTACAACTCTGAGTAAAGTAATGATGAATAGAGCCCAACCGATATGGATTTTGCTGTGGCCGATATGAAACCGATATAATGGGAGTTGGAGCTGCCGATGGCCGATATAATCGCCGATATAATCGCCGATATATTTAGTGATGTAAAAATTCACTGTAAATGTTGAATTGTTTAAAAAACTTAGGTTTGGCTCTGGTGGATTTTAAATTGGGTTTATTTAGGCAACATTTATTGTTATTCTGCCTCTTTACATCATATTTACAGACAGTAGGTTGGCTTAATGGCATTTTTGCATCACATTCTAGCTACTAGTGATGGGTATTCCAGTTCTTTTTAGAGAACCGGCTCTTTTGGCTCGGCTCACTAAAAGCTGCTGGTTCTTTTGGCTCCCAAGTGGCTCTTCAGATTGTTTTGTTGCAAGCAGGTCTAAAGCACGTCTAAAGCAGGACTGAATCAGGACTGAGCCAGGTCTAAACCAGGACTGAAAAAGGACTAAACCGGGACTAAAACAGATCTAGACCACGTGTAAAACAGGACTAAACCAAAACTGAACCAGGACTGAGTGTCAGGACTCGGGTCTCTATCTTGTGCCCAAGATTAGTCCTGGTTTATTTATTTTCAGTGTTGGGGAGTAACAGATTACATGTACCAGAGTTACGTAATCAGAGTACAAATTAAGAGTAACTGTATTCAGTTACAGTTACTGTTTCAGTGAGTGGTAATTGGATTACAGTTACTTTGTTGGAATAAATGGATTACACAGTGGTATTTTCCTGTTTTCACATTTTGCTCTAAACCAGGACTAAACCAGATCTAAACCAGATCTAAACCAGGACTAAACCAGGACTAAATCAGGACTAAACCAGATCTAAACCAGGTCTAAACCAGGTCTAAACCAGGACTAAACCAGAACTAAACCAGGTCTAAACCAGGACTAAACCAGGTCTAAACCAGGTCTAAATCAGGTCTAAACCAGATCTAAACCAGGACTAAACCAGGTCTAAACCAGGACTAAACCAGAACTAAACCAGGTCTAAACCAGGTCTAAACCAGGTCTAAACCAGGACTAAACCAAGTCTAAACCAGGACTAAACCAGGACTAAACCAGGACTAAACCAGGATTTAACTAAATCATACTGCGTGGACTGTGTCTCCTTGTCTTCTATCAATAATATTTTTTATTTGGTTCAGTAAAGTCTGGGCTTTTCATTGTCTTTTATCAGACAAAACTTCTTATGTTACGATTTCCTCATCTTTGCTTCTCTACAGGAAACCAAGTAATCCAAAGTATTCAGATTACGTTACTCACTTTAAGTAATTTAATGGATTCCGTTACTAACTACATTTTGGAGTATGTAATCTGTAATCTGTAGGGGAATACATTTTAAAAGTAACCTTCCCAACACTGTTTATTTTATGATAAACTACAGCCAAATATGCTCGTTTTTTTTTATCCTATGTACACGCAAATTTCTCAAAGTTTCGTTTTCAGCCAATGCCGCTCACATCCTCCTCACATCACAAGTCTGTACTAATAAATGTCCTTTTAGTCCAGACTCAAACCGATTGTCCAAAAAGAATATAATCTCAGTGTTTGGATCTATGTCTGCGAGTGTAAACAAACACATGTGAGTGACGCGACTCTATGGTGTGTTCAGGGACAGTACGGACACACACACACAGACAAATGACTCCGTAGATAAATACTGATGCAGAGCCACATATTAGGACATTTAACTGTCTGTAAATTGGATTAAATGAACATAATGTAGAGAGTCTAAGATTTTTAACGATGTATCACATGCCCACGTGAAATATCGACCCCTATCAGCAAGCCTATCGGTCGATGGCCGATATGCCTCCAGGTGCTCGTATCGGGCGATAATATCGGTCAACCGATATATCGGTCGGGCTCTAATGATGAAGTCAATTTTACATGCCCTCTACTTATTTAGATTCTGCTTGGGCTTTTCATACCTTTGGTCCAGCCTGAGCAATGTGCAGTCGGTGGAGGACATGTTGTGAGAATGCCCTGAACAGCCCTTCACTGGAGCAGTCGGAAATCTGACACATACATGAAAGAACAAAGAGTATACACATTATGAAAGGTTATGATGCCTGCCACAATGTTTACTTTTTAAGACCACTTGACAAGAATCACCCCTCTCTCTGAAAACAGCATTAGATAACTGACTTGCTTCTGCTTCTAAACCATCCATGAAAACAACATAGCCATGCACTAAATAGTCCCCCTCAGCAGACCAATTGCTACTGGACCAAAAACTCAATAAATCTATAGCAGATATTGTATTGAACAGTAAACATAACTCACTAGAGGAGTGTTGTAAAAAAGGCCATATCGCATTCTCGGAAGGAGGGAAAAGACAGCATCTTTAAAGCAAACCTATGGACAGAAGTGGATATATTAACAATAGAACACTTCAGTAGTTTCAATGCTCAGCACAAGATAGACATTCACTCCTAATTTATAAAGCAATACACAACACCAATCACAAAATTATTACACTAATTATTAATACTCATCATTCAAGCATTAAAATAGTCTCAAATGATGTTGTGAATCATACTTGTTTAGAGTCATAGGTCTTCAGGTGGATGATATCAAAGTCTGTGAAGGCCTGCCATGTTTCACTAAAAAGATCCCCATAACCATAGTTACTCTGGACAAAAAACAAAAACATGTTCATGAAAGAGCAAAAAAGCAAACATAAAGGTGAAATGGGTAATAGTGAGTTTGCTGAGATTTAGTCAATACCATCAAAATCTTCCCCAATATTCTGGAAGGGAGGTAATATCAGTTTTCTTTTCTTTTTTTTCTTTCTTTTTTAACAAAGGCAAGAAAAAAAATACTGTTCATATTTAACAAACACTGCATTTGAGCTTCACAAAAGGGGAAGTTGTGTTGAATTATGTAACCTCTTCTCTATCTTCTCTGCTTTTCTCTGCATTCTAGACAAAGCAATAACATTTCCATGGAGATAAGCATGTGATGGACCCTCCACTAGAAATGTTACACAGTCCCTTTAAAGATTAAGCACACATGCATATATAAGACAGTGTGATTAGATTCATACCGTGTCCCACATAACGATGTTGATGTCTGTGCTGAAGGAGTTGTTGATGTGTTGTGAAATGTACAGGTTCACAAAGTCGCAGAAGTGATGGTACATGTTCACACCTTTAACAAGAATAGAATATCTTTACACAATATTACTCTCATATTCTGAATTCAGTGTGTCAGTAGTGTATCACCTTTTACTTACCTGCATCCAGTTTCATGAAGATAGTAGGCTTGTCTATTATCAGGTCACAATGTTGGGCATCAGTGGGTTGAAAGTTTAACTCTGTGTAGGTCTGTAGTTCAGCATACCTGCAAAAAAATGAGTTCATAAGTTCATCAGCTTTTTCTAATCATTACTTGCTTTTGTAGGATAGTATGAGACATAATATTTATCATAGGTTTACAGTCAGAAGATGGTTTGTGGAGAAAAGTGAAATTTAAATGGTCAAAAACTACTGGCAGCAGAACGCTATCTATGTCATCAATAAAGAAAATTATATGTAAAATGCAGGGACAATTTACATGCACCGGTTTAAACGTTCATCTCAAATCATGTCAACATGTTGTCATATGATTTAATGGCAAATAATAAGTGCTATGTAAATTGAATGAGAATGAGCGTAGAGTATGGTTGCTAGGTAACAGTTACGGATTGCCTATGGCACATTTTCTATCTATGTCCTTTGCCAAAATTGTCTAGACTAGAGAAAACTGGGTACATTTTTTATGCTTTATCTAAATTTCAGTGTAATTGGTAGTCTAGCATGCCATATGTTCATTCAAGCCTTTGATACATTTTCTTTATAATTTACCTAGTTTATAATTGTATATTTATAACAAATGAACAACTCACAAAAAAAAATGTCTATAATTATGTTACCATAAACAGGCACTATATAACAATTTAGGTGAAGTTGAATATTACTATACATAGCAACATCATGTAGTAACAAGGTAAATAGTATAACGGGTAAGATTTTCGAGGGGGGTTGTTGCATTGCACCAAATAAGGTAAGTAGGAAGTTGAATAATTGTAGTGTAAAATAAACCGTTATTATAACTTCTATCAGAATAACATGGTTGAGGTAAAAAAGTCAAAGTTGATTTCCTGACAGTGAAACTCCATTAGACATTGACAGTGAATCAGACAGGACATGCTTGTCTCACCAGGATTGTAAAGGGCTCTTATGCTCTCCGGCAGAAGCTAGTGCACGCTTGTTCAGACGACAGCTGCCACCAATCTCACCCCTTTGAATGAAATCATCCTTGTATCTGCAGAGTAAACATAAATGCCTTTCAAAAACAAGAAACCATGTATTACTTTTGCCTACAGGGACAGGGGTCAAATTCAAATCCACTGACCTCTCATGGCCTCGCCGAGGGTTCCGCAAGTCCAAATAAAGGTTTGTTGCCTTACAGAATCGAGTGTGGCTGCTGCATTTCAATGTGGAATCTCCCTAGGTAGATAAATTAAATATGTAATATCTATGTCATTTAGGTAAATAGTTTAGCTTGGACACACAGCCACATAAAAATACAGTAAGAAGAAAAAATCAGAAGTTTCTTGACTGTAGGACTTGCAGTTTTTGTGTAGTATACATTAAGCATATAACAGCCCTCAAACAGGTTGAATGCCAAAAGTCTTCCTGTTGACTGGATACTGTGGGAACAAGGGAAGGGAGCTTGTACTCACAGGCTTGGTGGGCTTGCACAATACTTTGAGCTCAGAGAGGCGCTCCTTCACATAACCAAAATCAGCCTGCTTCCAGAAAACTTCCTGGGCTGCTTCCAGTGTACGTGCCCTAACAGAAAAGCAAGATTTGATCAGACTAAACACATCCTTATCCTACAATCAAAGATGTTTTCCCACATTGGTTACTAGTTATAATAGTGAGGACCAGTGTCAAGATAGATATCGCTGTGCATGAAAGTAGTACCATCCTGTGTCGACTTTAGTGCAAACAGGATAACCAAAGCTCTTCTTTGGATCACAGTTCTTTTCATAACCCCAACATGCTGATTGGTCCTCCAGAGCTTCCTACAGTGGGAAAAGGGCCAAAAATGTTTTAAAGTAGACCTATAAATAACTTTATAGTATATGAGCTTCAAATAACATGTTCTACTACATTTCAAAAACAGTCACTGCAACATAATTATACCAAATAAGGCAAGGCATCTTACTTTAAAAGGACAAAGTGCGTCCTTGCGGCATATCTTGGTGACCCTCTTGTTGTTGTTGAGGAAGTACGGTATGTGCTCTGGTGGCAGGGAAATCCTGCTGTAGTCCAGCTGTGCTTCTTGTATGTGGCTGTGGTCCTCAGTCACTTCAGATGAAAGCACAATTAAACAAGAAACTGTGCCCACCACCAAGAGCCACATAGTCAGAGCCAAAACAACATGGGACACAGCCACTCTCTCCTTGTGGACCTCTGGGACTGTGAGGAAAAATAGAGAGTCTAGTCAAACATAAATTCAGCCTTGCATTGTTTGCTCTGCTTTGTAAGTCATTATGTGGGCAGACAAAATGCAACACAGGAAGCATTTCTGACAGGTCCCAACAGTTGTGTGAGAAAGGATATGAGAAAACTATGAATAGAAACAGGTGTGTGAAAAGAAAGAAATACATATGCAGAAAGTTACAATAGGGTGTATTATTAATGGAAAACAAAACATAGCCTTCACTAAAAAGTACTTAATTATTAAATGAGAATATGGCCAAAATAAAAGACACTTATTTTGTAGATGAATTGATAAAGCTTTCTTTGGGCAGGGCCAATTAAAATAGCATACATTCTAAGAAAATAGCTAATTTTACCCAATTATATAGGATTTGATGTAGGGTAGTGCCATGCTGACTGTGGGTATGCACCTCTATGTAGCCTACAACTCTAACCAAATAATGAGAAGAAATCCAAATAGAATCAGATACTTTATACAGTCAGTGGCCTTCAATCTATGATCAATGTTCATTCAATCCTGACTGATCCTCGATGTTAATCAATACTGTAGCAATACACGTGAAAACCTGCACGTGACTGAACAAAAACAAAAAACATGAAATGATTTATCATGAAATAGAAAATACAAAGCATTCACTTAATTATAACAATCTTTTACATTTCATCCTGTGTGCTTTGTTAATGACAAAGTAACAAAATGATGCGGGCTTCTCTTTATTCAATCACAATGACCGCATTCCAAATGTAGACTACATTTAAAATGAACCAAACTAAAATATTATATATTCTGGTCAGGTCTAGAGACAAACTTTTAACACAAACCTCTTCCTCGCTCTTGGTGCTCCGCTCAGCTCCTCCAGACTGAAGCCGCAGAGACGCCGGTGGTGGTCGCCATGACACCGGAAACATTTACAGTAAGAAAGTCCACAAGAGGGCGCTGTTCAACACTGATTGTAACGCCGGGGTTAGTCTATCTTCAGTTAATAATAAGCACGCATCACCATCCAAATAAAAGTTTATTTATTTGTCTATACATTTGAACATATTTTAATCCAAAGCTTGGATTGATCTGATTGCACATCATTCTTTCACATATTAATTAGAGTGTATTTAACAAAACAATAACAATCTTCTGTGCAACCTATTCATTCTTCCTAACTTGCATTTGTGTTAAAACAATAAAATATCTGTATAGTGCAAAATCCATCACCATATTCTAGAGTTAAATGTCAAAAAAAACTACATAAATCATTAAAATATTAACATAATTTAATTCAATAGACTCCAAATAATGTACAGATTGTATCCTTCAGAGACCTAATTTTACACATGGTACAGTGATTTTGTGTACAGTTTAATTTGTAAATGACATTTAGGAAGGCCTGCCAAAATTAACCATTAAAGAAGTATCTAATTTATTTCTGGTTTCGTAGAAGTTCATCAATTTGTGTTTTATACATATTCTTCACATCTTCTAGGTCCAACCTCAGCTCTTCGGCTTCTTCTGCTTTTTCTCCATACATCTGTAAAATGGTGTTGTGCCGTTGCTCCAAATCCTGTAATTAATTTCAGTCATATTATTATGTCATTACTGATACATAGACACACAGACAGACTAAAAAGTGCACATCTTAAGACAGCTCACCTTTAGCTGAACTCTGAGCTTAGGGATCTCCTTCACTTTTTCCTCCATGTCGTCATTTTGATTGGTGAGTCGAACAAGCTCTTCTGCCATCACTGAACGACTCCTCTCAAGACCGGCAATCTCAAGCTGAAGCATGAAATGACCATATATTACTAATTTATGTGTTTTCTATTTAGTTTTTGTTTAATTTATTTATTTATTTACCTGTAGTTGTGCAATCTCCCCCTCTCTGAGCTTAAGCTGAGACTGGAGGTTCTCTATAATGCTGGAGCCTCCGGACAGCCGTGCAGCTTCGTACAGATTGGTCCCACTCATGGATACAGACAATGACATGTTTCCAAGAGAATGGTCTAAAGACTCATCCTAAAGAAGAGAATAGTGCAGAAGTAAATAATTTGTATTGTAAGGGTGTTAGGTATAATTTTCTTAGTTCAAATCTCCTCTGGGACATTTATGCTGTTGCTATTATATTTGTTCACCAATCTATACAACAACCACTTGCACACCTATTTGCTTATTTGTCAATTTATTTGTAATAATTCTGTTGTTGTCATTACCTGGGAAAGAACTGAAGTATGCAGGCCAGCGTTGTCCACCCCACTGATAGAGCTGGAGCGGGACAGGGATGGTGTTGAGGAGGCTGGGAGCTCCCTACGTTCCTAAGAACAAATTCAAATTCAATAGCATGTAGGAAAACAGATTATCCATTTTGACATTGTACGTAAAAAAATAAACTGCTCAGAGTTCAAATCTATCTGGTGACTTAATGAGATGTCTGAGCGCATTGTTAATTATATAGACACAAACCTTTTCTCTCAGTGCTTCTTGAGCCAAGTAGCATTTCTTCTTTTCCTGCTCCACCTTCATTTTCTCCATCTCAAGTTGATTGGTCAGCAGGAGCTTTTGAGAAGAACAAAATATTTAAACATTGTCTAATGGTACAACTTTTCAACACCCATATGCTGTGCAGTTGTTATAATTGGTGGCCCTGTTGGAGCTCTCCCCACTCTCAGCCTCTAAAGAGTAATTTTAAATGGCTCCATTCCGGACATAGACTGTGTTGTCCAGTATTTAGGATACAGAGAAGAACAACCTTTGTACCAAGGGCTGTAAAACTTCTTAACATGTAGTATTATTGACAATGGTAGTAGGGAGCCCTCTAGTGCTCATGTGTGTCATGCAGCTTTGCACCTTCATTTGAGCACTTTGCATTTAATGTCAGTGTGTGTGTTTTATGTGTATGAATGTCCGCTGTTTTGTGTGCCTTTTAATAGCCCATTGAGGACAAATAATTAAATTAATTAAATGCAATGAAAATGGTTTTAACATTTATTTTTGTTTTAAAATAGGAAATGAGCACAAGACACTGAAGTTTTTTTTTAAACCTAATAAAAGTTTTACCTTTTCTTTTTTTGTCTCCTCTAATGTACGAGTGTGCTCTCCTCGCAGATTTTCCAACTCCACAAGGTGCCTGAAGTTGAACACACAGTACAAAGAAGTCATTAAAAAAAGTCATTAAAAATAAATATCAGCACATGTATGTATCTTACACAGCATTTCTTATGCCATGTTTAAATTCCTTTGGGTATGTGTGGTCTTCTCCTTCAGACCTCATTTAAAAAATATTTCGAGCCAGCCAGGAGTCGAACCTAGAATCTTCTGATCCGTAGTCAGACGCGTTATCCATTGCGCCACTGGCCCACTGACAGAGTGGGGGTTTCCCGCGCTCTTTTGTAATGCAAAGACAGAGTGTGAGGCCTGAATGACTCAGACTGTTTCCCCTCCCCCCTCAAATGCTTTGCGTCAATGGCCTCTTTCCTGGTTTAAAGGAGCAGTGCTGCTCTTATGTCCACAGGGCTGTCAGACAAACCTTTTGCAAATATTTAGTTGGAGATTAAGTACAGAAAAGCTCCTGATCACTTTTGGACACTTTTGTTTGCAATAGTGAAATTAGTCACAAAATAATTTTGACTGTAAAGTTTTGTAACAGAGTAACTGCATTTTCTGTTTCTAAATGGGGCCCAAGAACAGAATGCCACACATGCCCAAGTTAGTCAATATTTTTACCTGCTACTTTCATCCTCTAGTTTTTCCCTTTTGTTTTTCTCAGCATCCAGCTGTGCTAGAACTCTGGCCTTTTCTTGACGAAGCAAGGAATTCTGGGACTCCAGAGAGGCAAGCTGGGATTTGATGGACAACAGCTCTTCTGAGGCTGCACGCTCTTTTTCAACAGCGACAGCTAGCTGTGCCTGTGCATCCGCTTTAACAAAGACAAACAAAGACAGTGAATATTAACCACTTTATTGTTATGTTATATCTTTTTATGTATTTTTTTGTTTTATGCACCTTTAGTATTCTAATTAAAAAAAACATGAAAAGCGTTGTTCTTTCACTTTTTCCCTTTTTAAAATTTACGAGACTAGGCAAAAAAAGGTCATTGTAAAGCCAGTCTTTTACCACAGTATAAAATAAAAATATGAGTTTTGCGAGTGACTTACCAAGTCTATCAGAGATGTTCTTCTCTAGTTTTTCCCAGGATGCAGTTTGTCCACCTAATGAAGCCTGTAGGTTCTCTATCTGACGTAGTAAAGGTCTGGTAGCAGAGGTCACGCTTTGACTGAGCTCCTGATTTCTGGTCTCAGCCTCCTGGAGCCGCTATAAATAGTGACAACAGAGTAAAAATGAATACAAGATTTTCTGTAGAATTATAGGGAATAATTTAGAGGCTGGCATTATACCTGCTGCAGCTCACTGATCTCTTCCCGTAAATAATCTTCCTTCCTTGCTTGCTGCTGCTCTGCTCTTTGTAAAGCCACTCTGAGGTCAGCCACCTACAAACCAACATAACCTAATTAAACAACAGACTTAAAAATAGAGACACCTGTTAATAAATAAAGTTAATAAAATACACCTTGAATTTAATAGTTAACCTTAATGCACAAATGAATGATGTTGTGTTCAGGTACCTGGTTGGCCAGAGCTTCCTGTTGCACTCTGGCCTCTTCTTGGGCCTTTTCAAGAGCCAGGCTCAGCTGTTCTTTAGCCTGAATTTCCCGGCTCAGAGCTGCTTCTTCAGCCTCACTTGCTCTGCTGGCATGTGCCTTATGAAGCTCAGCCAGTTCCCTGAGAACAACAAATAACAGCTATTAAGCTACATAACAACGTAGAGTCTATATAAAGAAACTAAGTATGGTTTTACTTGTAAGCGTTGTCTAGAGCAGATTGTAGGCTTCGGTTTTTCTCCTGTAGCTCATCATCTTCAGTCTGGAGCCGACTCATCTCCTTCTCCTGCCTTTCAACTACTGTATTTAGTTTTTTGATATTTTCCCGGTGTTGTTTCTCCACCTCTTCCTTTCCATCAAGAACCTTAAGAGTCCAATTGTAACCATAAGTTTAACATCTTAAACAATAAGTGACAATGAAAGGTTCAAATGTTTTGAAGTTGATTTAGCGCAAAACCAAACCTGCTGCAGAACTTTGAGCTCTTCCTCCAACTCTCTGATTTTCTTCTCATGCTTTATGATCCTGGAGTCACTCTCTTTTTCTTTGGCACGTAGTTTTTTGATGATGTTGCTATGCTGCAGTTGTTGTTTGGATAGTTTTTCACCTGTGTGAAAAGAATGTAATGTGAATAGACTGGTAATTGGGGCCCTTTATATACAGTAGTACAATCAAAACAGAATGTGCAATTTGTGGCTGTCTTGCCTCAGATTTACTATTGGGAAGTGTGCATGATATTTCAGCTGCAAAACTGTATGTAAAATGTAAATGAAAGCATACAGTGAGTGCAAAGGTTTGTGTACACTGCTCCTATATGGGCTATTAAATTGTTATTGCAAATTGCCTCTACTTCACTTATCCCTAGTGTTGCAGGTAAAGTGTACATTATAGTATCATTGCTTTAAAAATAACATTTATTATTATTATTATTATTATTATTATTATTATTATTAAGTACTGGTTCTTTTTTAAACATGACCCATCCCGTGTAAAAAGTGTGCACCTGTCCCTCAAAGATATAATTTTATCATACATTTTTGCTCTCATTATTGTTATAAATAAAAAATGTTATAAACCTCTTTGTTATTCAAATTTATTGTGATGTGTGAGCCACTTTAGAAAATATATAATTGTGCATATTCATTAACTCAAACTGTGATATGTCTTTTTTAGCATCTCTGTGAGAAACTGTCAGGTTTTGTACCACTTTTAGCGTGTTTATCTGTTTGGCACATGAGCATATGCTTGATAAA